CGCACCTGCTGAAGCCGCAGCCAGCGCCGCCGCCGCAGCCTCCACGCATGGGGGGGCCCTGCCGCCGCGCTGAACTCCGCCTCGCCCCGTTCGGGCGCCCCGAAGTCTAGGTCCTCCAGCGCCGATGTCAGCCAGCAGTCACGGGCCCCCACCTCCTTCACGTGGACCTCATGTCTGACGCATACCCGGCCACATCTCGGGCCCTATCCGCCAAGCCCTCAAGCAGCAGAATGTCCTCGTCGTCGACGGCGTGCAAACCCGCGCCGAGCTTGGCCCTCGAATCAGCCAAGCGGCTGCCCTCGCGCTCACGCTCCGAGATCTCGCCGCGGCGCACCGCCTCCTCGGACGCGCGGGCAGGGGCGTGCCTGGCCGTGACCCCGACCGGGGCGTCGGCGACACGCGCCCAGAGATAGGCACGCAGCGAGCTCTGGCCCTGGGCGCGCGGCAGGTTCATGATGTGGTCGACAGTGCCCTTGCAGTCGCTCAGGATCTCGCACTCGCCGATGATCTCCGTGGGCGCCACCACCGCTGCGTAGTCCTCGCCCGCTCTGGTCGACTGGGCGCGCAGCTCTTGGGGCGACACCGCGCCCCAAGCCCGCGCAGTGATCAGGCCCTCCGCCGACATCACGATGACCGCCCAACCAGCACTGCGCAAATTGGGAAACCTGCCATTCACGCAGGAGCCGTCAGTGAATATTTGGGATCCAGGAGCCACCGCCATCGGGCTCTCCCAACCGATCTGCTGGCGTTCTCACCTCGGCTGCCAAGCGGGTCGCTTCAAGAGCCCAGACGCGACCACGAACAGGCCCTGGGCGCACAGCTCGCCGAACTTGATTCCTAGGGCGCGCGCCACCCGAGCTACTTGCAGCACGTCACCAGGGAGTCGATCCCGACGCCAGCCTTGCCAGGCGGGGCACTCGCAATGCCGATGGCACATAGTGCCAGCATCTCCTTGGCGAAGCAGGCAGGTGGTGCTGAAGTCCGACTTGTGCTTCGCCAATCGAGCCTGCGGCCAGTGGGGGAGCGGCACTAACCAGCGCAGGCAGCCCTTGTGGTGACTGGTCCAGGTGTCCGTGGCCTTCATACCGAGCAGCTCGCTGATGGGCCTCCAAGCAGGAGGGGGCCGCCATGGCCGAAGCGCCTCCCCGCGAGCGCGGTACCCCTCTAGCGCAGAAGCTTTCCTGGTCGCCTCGCAGGCACGCTCGGCCAGGAAGGAAGGCGACAAGCAGCGCGCGTCGAACTCCAGGCCCAGCTAACCCTTCACCGCGAGGCCGTCGCGCGTGAGTTGCCAACTGATGCGCTTCAGCACGAGGACTAGGGCCGCCGCGGGGTCGCGCACCGCCGCCCATGGCCGCTGGGCGAAGTCCAGCTTCCGACTCGCCCCGAGGCAAGCCTTCACCGCCGCAGGCCAGGCCTGCCCAGCCCAGGAAGCGCTGCCGAAGGCCTGCATCGCCATGCCCATCGCGATCACCAGGGGGTCCTGTCGCCAGCCGCGGGGCGAACACTGCAGCGCAAAGCTGAGGGCTGCACCTGGGGCGAGGCGCCCAGCACCCTTGGCCGCTGCGACCCTCAGCACCCGCATGCGTCCAGGCGGCGTTCCAGCCGTCGCCGGGCCCCAAAGAGCTTTCGCCGTGGGGCCAGCCCTCATCACTCTGGCGTGCCTAAGCCCAGGGCCGAAGATGCGGCCAAGGCGCGATGCCTGCCTGAGCGCGGCCAGCTCACGAGTCACCTGCGTAGCGACTCGGCGGCGGGGCCCAGCTGCCGCGTCGCCGCCCAGGTCGCAGTGGCCAGAGACGAAGGCCCCCGCGGGGAGTGGCCAGCCTGCCGTCTCCTGCAGCGCCCGCTGCACACCCACCGACGAGGCCAGCACCTTAGTTTTCCTCCAGTTGATGGGCAGGCACTTGTGACTAAGCATGGCCACCACGCCTGTGACAAACTGGCTGAACTGCTGGACCAGGACGCGCTGCGCGCCTATGCCGTGCCCCGCCACGTCGCCGACCACATTGACCACCCGTCCAACCTGGAGGAGGCCGCGACCACGAAGAAGCAGGCCGTACAGCATCAGCCAAGCCATCGTGGTCGCACACGAGCAGCCAGCTATCACCGACCCTCTGGCGCGGAGCCCCTCGCTGACGGCACCGTACCGTGGCTCATCTCGGCCCCGCACAGGCCAAGCAGAGGGCCTTGACCAGGCCAGGGCTGAAACATGCTGCTCCGCCGCCACGGAGGCCCCCTCGAAGCCTCGGGAGCGCGCCAGGCCCAGGTGCAATTTGCGCAGGTAGGCGGCTCTGTCGCAGCTGGCGTCCGAGTCACTGCCCCAGATCTCTGGTATCTGACGCCCCTCCTCCTCCCAAACTGCACAGCACCTCCGCCTGATGCGCCCCCAGAGACGCATCAACCCAATGGGCCTCCTGCCGCCGTCGGTCTTGGCGAAGATGACGACCGGCGCGACAAAGAGGCCTGCGGGGCGGGGGTCGCGCGCGCCGTCAGCAGCGCGCCCACGCGGTCCGCGACAAGGCCGCCCCAGCAG